CTGGTACCAACAATATCACACCAGTGGATGGTAAACTACATACACACCGTGACTGGTACACTCCAAATACACCACAGTGACTGGAATACCACAATTCACACCAATGACTGGTACATACATACACCACAGTGACTGGTACGGTTCAATTACACACCGTGCTGGTACTACAACAATACCACCACCAGTGACTGGTAAACTACAATACACACCAGTGACTGGTAAACTACAATACACACCAGTGACTGGTACACTACAATACACACCAGTGACTGGTATACCACAATACACACCAATGACTGGTACACTACAATACACACCAGTGACTGGTAACAAACAACAAATTAACACACCCAGTGACTGGTACACTACAATACACACCAGTGACTGGTATACCACAAATACCACACCAGTGATGGTACACTACAAATGACACACCGTGATGGTTACACAACAATACACACACGTGGACTGGTACCACTACAATACCACACCAGTGATGGTACACAACAATACACACCAGTGACTGGTACAGTACAATACACACCAGTGACTGGTACACAACAATACACACCAGTGACTGGTACACTACAATACACACCAGTGACTGGTACACTACAATACACACCAGTGACTGGTACACTACAATACACACCAGTAACTGGTACATTACAAGCATCACACAATAGAACCAACTCTTCCTCCTCCTTCCCCCCACAAGCAAGTGATGTGTGGGAACAATCTAAAGCCAAGTATCTCATAGACACAATCCATGCAGAAAAAAGACGAAACTCGAGAACATCATTTCAAGTTAGAGTGCTGAGAGTGAAGGTGTGAATGGTAGAGCGAGTGTGTTTGTTTGAAACTCTTTAAGATTAATGTTATCAAGAAGTTCAAACCTTAACAAGGTCTTTCCAACAGGAGGTATCACTGGCTGGTGATCCTGTGCGAGACGAGGTAACCCAGGTCATCCTCCAACACATCCTTCACCTCATCCTCAAAATCTTCGAAGTGTTATGACCTGAGTCTTACCCACGTAGCTGATGCTAGAGTAGATTGTGAACTAGACCCTGCTTGCTCCAGGAAGGTCTATTTCAACAACGTGACACTCGACTTCCTGGGTGACCCTGTGACTGACCTGTATGCCCTTAATTCAAGAGTAAGAGAGGTGAGTCTGAAGAGTGTCAAGGAGCAGCTGACGGATCATCAGCTCGAGTATAAGTGTGTTCAAGGTGGAAGAGGTTCGTGGAGATGCGCTCATCAAAGTACATAACACCAGAATCACACACCTTGAGAGCCTCTACATCAAGGAGTACGCCAACGCTCCTTTATTGGAACAGTGTGATCGACAAGGGTCCAGAGGGGCTTGGTCCTGTCATCAGCGGCAACATTACTCGACACGGTTCAAGTTCCCTACTCATCACGTGACCTTCCTTAGGCGAGCCTGGTACTTGAACCTGGCGCTGATGTCACTCTGCAGGACGTGTCAGGTACAGTGTTGGTGTCCTGCTCTGTCTGTTCCACTCCTCCTACAACACTCCCACAAGCTCCTCTCCATCAACATTTATTTATTTCCACCTCACCAACAACAGTAACACACCAGAAAGAAGAATGTTACTGTTCATATATTCTGCTGAGTCTTGTTGTCATTCTCTGTATAATAAATGACACACTTATTTTCTTATCATAATTGTTTTAAAAAAGAACTTTAATAAAGTCTCACAAACAAGACTTTCTGATGACAATAAAAATTATCCTGAGAGATCATTATTACATTCACGGTGGAGTGCTAAACCCGTAGTGGTCATACAGCACCTGAAGGAGTGGAAGGCAGCCAAACTTGATTCAAGGAATTAGAGCACAAGTCCAGTTCCTTAGATGAAGAGCTCTCAGAGCAAGGTCACAGGAGGAAAAATGCTCCTGGGACCCTCACCTAAAGATGACATCCCCTCAAGAAAACCTTAATTATTTCTCGTACACCTTTGAGCAGTGGAGCCGCAATCTGAAGCAAACTGTTTTATAGATCTGATTCCCATGGTCATACAACGCATATGAAGCTAAAAAAACCCTTTTTAAGAAGATCTGATCCCATATAGATTACATGGTGTCCACACATAAAACAATTTACACATATGAGTAGCTCTCGAAGTTTTTCACGACCACTCAGAAAGTAAAGATATGATTCAAGTAAAAATACTATAGTCACACCTACATGTGCTACGTCAAGTATTTTACATGTAAACCAACTTCCTAAATCCGGCAAAACAAATATTACAAGGACTTATGTCTTACACAGAGGACCGCAGAAACAGTTAAACTGTTTTATCTCTCCAGGTCGGACTTCATAAACTCAAAAATGGTATATCAAGTGATGAAATTATGAACGTTAAACACTCACTCCATATTTTCCAAAGAGTTAAGACCTGCAGTGACCACGTGACCTGAGTCCCTGCAAGACACCCAGGACACCCCAGACCAATCAACTCATCATCACTCTGCTTCAAATCACCTTGGTCAGCGAGTACTGCCTCTGGTTATTCTTCTGCATCGCCAAACAACGCCATGTTGCTGGGTCTAGACCCGGCTTTTTATTTACATCTTAAGACATTCCTCTCCAGCACTATAGTCTACGCCTATCCCCTCTTCCCGCACTCACTTGTTGCGTCTTACCTGGGAGTATCCTCTCCTATCCTATCCTATCGCTGTCTAGCCTCACGTCATCTCAAGACAAGTTGATAAATTAGACACATGTACAACACTTGGGTATCTTTAATGAGGAAACGTTTCGCCACACAGTGGCTTCATCAGTCCATACAAAGGAGAATGGTGAGGAGCAGGAGGAGTTTGAGGTAATCAGTCCCTCAATCTTGAGTGGATGTAATCAGTCCATCAGTCCAAGATTCTTTTCATTCTTTTCAAGATTAATGGACTGACTACATCAACTCAAGGCTGAGGGACTGATTACCTCAAACTCCTCCTGTTCTTCACCATTCCCCTTTGTATAGAGTATAGACTGATAAAGCCTCTGTGTGGCGAAACGTTTCCTCATTAAAGATACCCAAGTGTTGCACATGTTGATTTGCAGTTTGATAGTAAGTGTTCAGTAATCTTTAAAAAGACTGAGGAAAATATCTAAGTCAGCAAAGCACGTTGTGTTCAACCAAGTATCATATTCTCACGTGAACTCCTCTCAGTCAGTGTTCCATTACCATTGCCTTAGTGTTCTTTCACGTGTTCATATAAGCCTTAGTGTTCATTTTCTCGTAAGTTTCGGAGTGTGGTTTGGGTGAACAATCTAAATATAAGAATTTTATATTAACAATCCAGGCAGAAAGAAGATGAAAGTCGAGAACTATTTCAAATTAGAGTGTTGAGAGTGAAGGTGTGAATGGTAGAGCGAATGTGTACGAAATTGTTTAGGAGTCATATTTTGAAGATAAAGTTCAAACCCTAACAAGGTCTTTTCAACTAGAGTTATCATTCACTGACTGGTGATCAGAGGCGGGCCGCACCGGGTGACACCATTTAGGTGGTGACACCACAGAGCCTCTAAAGAAGGTGATACTAATGCACAACACAGTGCTACACCAACATAAGAGAAGAATCCTTCGTTTCTATATAGCCTATTATATATTAACAAAGTACAAATAAGCCTATATAGGGAAAAATCATTGATTTTGATGATGTAATGGACAATTTTGCATGATTGAAGGCAAGAAAATGTCATATCAGATTCACTGAGATGTTACCTGTACTCAAGATCAAATCGGAACAAATGTTTCTCTGATATTGCAATGTTTTTCTTTATTTTTCAAGTTTTTTTTTTTTGTTTTGGCATTGTTGAAGATGACTAAATTGTAGGATCTGTTGCCTGTACAAAGATGGTATTTGAGTTTATGTTTCCTTAATATTACTACGTTATTTATTTTATCATCAATAAAGTTGAGAAGTATTCTCCTGCTTGGTTTATGGCCCTTAAATGTTCTCATTTTAAACATTAGTCACTGGACTGTCATGCAGTAGAGTGACATAACTGGAGTTTACCACCCCAAATTCCCAGCTTGAATTTCCTGGGGTGGGTGACACCAAAGATGCTGCCCACGTGGGACACCACTCTAGCGACGCCTCTGCTTGGGTGATCCTGCGGGAGACAAGATAAACCCAAGTCATCCTCCATACAATCTATCACTCATCCTCAAAATTCGAGGTGAGTCTACCCTCGTAGCT